TGGTGCAGGTCCACACTGCCTGCTCACTAGTGGAGAACCCACTATGTGCCCGACATGAGAAGCTCATGGGAAACAGGTGGAGAAGAAGGCAGCTTACACTTGAGTAGCTTCTAGACCTGAGGACTTTTGTGCCCGAGAGGCAACCTGAGTGCTCTTAGCTGTGCAAGTGGAGGACAGGGAGTGGTTGGCATGCGAGTTCGAGGGCTGCAGAAAGCGGGCTCAACATCTGGTCACTTGGGAAGCCAGTAGCATAGGAGACCAAAAGCCTTCGGGAGATAAGGGGTGGAGGTCTCCGGACCAAGGCCCAGAGGCAGGGAGGCCCTTCGAGGACTTCGAAATCCAATTATACTACCTCAAGGGAGGGAGCCTGAGGTCCCACACCCACGGGGTAGAGGAAGTGTCGATGTGATGCCAGCTTTGCAGAAGGATGATGGGATTGGCACCCAGACAGCCAGGACAGCAACAGCACAGGAAAGGGAGAAGGAACTTCACTCCTCCCCATGCTGGCTCCAAAGCCATCTCCATTGGGCTGGGGCTCCCAGCCTCCCCATGATGCTGCCCTCCTTCCCTGGCTGCAGTACACCTCCAATCTGGGCCAGAATCAGTCAGACCAGGATTCTAGCTGGTGACTCTGGATAGTTGCTTTACCTTCTGAACCTCCACCCATATTTTTTCCCTGCAGCACGCATTTATTTCGGTCCTACTGTGTGCCAAACACCATACCAGGTGGCGCACATGGGGTGGTGAATGAGACATAGTCCTGCCTTCATCAAGCTTCTATTCCTGTTGGGAAAGACACAAATACCTAGTGTAGCACCCTGCAGATAAGAAGGCAGCATAAGGACTCGTGTTGGGACCACAAGACTGTCAGAGGCAAAGACTCCTTTGGCCGTGGTGGTCAGAACGGCCTAGCTCAGGTGGTGACATCTGAGCTGACTAGAAAGAAGAGGCAGAGCCAGGCAAGTGGACAGAAGAGGCTAAGGGCCTGCCCAGGGATGAGCTTGGTGTGGCTGGAGAGTAGAAGGTGAGGGGCCAGGGCCACCAGTGAGCTGCAGACTGAGTAGAGGCCAGATGGCCCGGCCCTGTAGGCTAACCTGAGGAGCACACTGTATATACTATACATAGGGACATGGTACAAAGCGAAAGCACTGAGGATGCCAAGCCAGAGAGACTGTAAAATAATCTAGGTTTGCTTATTTGTTTAAGAAATAGTCTGACTATACTGCCCAAGCTGCCTTCAAACCCTGGGGCTCAAGGGATTCTCCTGCCTCAGCCTCCCCAGTGGCAGGGATTAGCAGGCATACACGCCAGATTTAACATTCTGACCTGTTTTGAGATAAATTTTGGCTGGTGCATGACAAAGCCTCTTTTTTGCCCGCTGCCATTGTCCAGGTAAGTCCAGGGGGGCCTGGATCAGGTGGCAGCTTGGGGTGGAGAGGTGTGGCCCCACGCAGGAGGCCATGGGAGAAGGAGCTAGAGGGAGGGAGGGAGGCAGGGAGGGAGGAAGGCTTAACCCACGGAGCCGGCCGTGCCCGGGGCGCGCGAGGGGCCAGGCTGTGTTTGCAGACCCCATCTGACACCCGCGTGGAGGCGCGGAGCGGCCCATTAACCGGGGGCTCACAGGCACAGAGATGGCACTGGAAACCACGGGGCGGATGAGATCATCCAGGCAGAGGATGTAGGGCGAAAGGAGAGGACGCCCCGTACCGCCTACAGGGAAACGAAGCCAAGGCCACCTCCACCCACGAGGCGCTCGCGAGGTGTCACGTGACCCAGCCAGCGCGCGCAGGAACCTGGCTGAGAACCCTGCCGGCTCGGACTCAGTGACGCCCCCAGGGGCAGGGCCGGGGAGGGAGGGGCGGAGCGGCCGGGCGGTGACGTCAGCGCATGACTGGGTTTTTATGAATGAAAGGAATCTTGTGCGTGAGTAATTCCGGGAAGCTCGCCTTACAACTGCGCGCTGCTCCGGCCCCCTGCGCTGCCCGCTCCACAACAAAACTTTGGCGCGGCGCTACCGGGAGCTCGGATCCGAGGGACCGGCGGTTCGGACCGGAGAGGAGACCGCTCAAGACACGGGCTGAGACAGCCGAAGGGACCGCACCGGGAAGCGTTCGGGCGAGGGGCGCCAGGCCTCGAGGCCCGGAAAGAAGGTGCGGGACGCGGGTCGGGCACGGGGACGAAGGGCCTGACCCCGGGAGGCAGGGTCGTTGTGCCCGGGTTGGCGCCGTCGGTGTCCGGGCGCATCCGTCGCCGGGACCGCGAGCATTGGCGTGTGGGGGACTGGGACGGGGGCCGAAGCCAGCCAAACGCGGCAGAACGCGGACCCGGAGGAAGCGAGCGTGGCTACAGTCCCGCGGTGGGGAGGGTGCACGTACGAGACTCGGTGGGAACAGCCTTGGGCCGGTGCCCGGGGCCGTGCGCGGTTTGTTTACGTCCGCGGGCGGCCAGTGTGCGCGTGTCCTGGGAGCGCTGCCTGGGCGGGGGCGTGCGCGCGCGCGCGTTTGTGCATGTGTGCCTTGCGTGTGCGTGTGCGTGTGTCTCGCGCTCTCCTTGGAGCCTGTGTGTACCCGGGGAGGGCGTTCCTAGGGTGACCACAGCAGTAAATGCGGAATGAAGACCCGAGCTAGGGAAGCGACCCAGGCGGTGGTCACACGGAGTCTGGAAATTATCGCCTGGCCCGCCCCCTTCCCACCAGCCTGGACTGTCCGGTTTCTGCTGTCCCTGGAGTTTCCCAGGGCCCTAACCATGTGACCCCACTGTTTGTCCCCCGCCCAGAGCCGGCGCCTGCAGCAACAGGGTGGGGCGGAGGTACCAGTGTCCCCACCCGACTGAGCTGGGGGTGAGGTAAGCCAGCCACCCTTCACCTGATCCCTGTGGATCCGGTAACAGAGTGAGTTGGAGCCCAAGTCCTTGTTTTCAAGCTCCCTAGAGAGGGGAGGCCCTTGGGATTTTGTCCAGCCTCTCAACCTCAGGAGAAATCAAAAAGGGCCAGAAAGCCCAAGGCAGAAGGGCCAGAAAACTCAGGGCAAAGGTCCAAGTTCCTCCTTGGTGGCCAGTGTGGCTAGTTTGGGTCCCCAGGCTGTACCTGCTGGGTCATCTAGAAGGGATGGGGTGGAGCTAGCGGCTGCCTTCCTGGGAATCTCAGCTCACAGAAGGGACTAGTTAGGCTGGACCCATCCATGGGCTGCAGGACCCCAGAGCCAGTTAAGGTCCCTTGAGCCAGGCAGGGTCAACAAGCAGTGGGGGTGGGTGATCCTCCTGCCTGGAGGGTTAACACAGCCCTGCAGAAGCACCTGTTCAGCCTGCAGCCTGAAGGATGGACTGGGGAGGGATCCCTTGGTCCAAATCCATGTTCTCCATGGTCCTCTTCACCGGGTTACAGAATCACAGGGCTGGGGTTGGGGTGGGAGTTGAGTTTGCTAAGGTGAGGAACTAATGGTCCATTAATTTTGACCCTTTGTGCCTTGCTGATCTCTGCTACCACAGCGGAGCCCCTGAGGGTCAGAACTAGGTAACCTCTGGCATAGCAGGGTGGCAGGTGGAACGGCAGCCGCTACGTACAACCTGTTATACAGGGAACTATGGGAGAGAAAGCAGAGGCAACCCCCACCGCTGGCCAAGAGCTTGGGCCACAGAGAGTGTGTGGGGCTTGAAGTCAGGGGGTTGTAGCCAGGAGCACAGGAGCCGGGTGGGAAACTCCTGGTGTAGGGACGGGGTCAGGGGATCAGGGGAAGTGGCTGCTTGGCTCAGTAACCTATGGAAAGTTAGCACTGAAAGGCTTCACCTCCTCTGGGATTGGAAAAAAGAGCCACCGAACTAATGCAGAGAGCACAGCTGGGTGGTGTGAGGGGAAGTCACTCTGGTTTAAAAGTATGTCAGGGCCCTCCCTTAGCCAGTGCAATCAGGGAAGGCTTCCGTCGGGAGGTGGCCAGTGAGCAGGATCTGGTGGAGTGGCGATCCTCTGTGAAGTCCTTGAGGGCAGGGGAGAGACTCTTCTTTGGGTCTTGAAGGCCCCGCACAGAGCCAGGCACACTGTAGTCTCTTCTTGGGTGTTTGTTGATTGAATAAAGAAGCCCTGGGTTCATATCCTTGAAGCCACAGGGAGAAAAAGGCCTGGGAAGCCCAGGGAAGCAGGAGCACAGTCCCCCAAAGCTGGCTCTCAAAAGTGAGCAGATCTTCACGGCTCAGGTGATGATGTTCCCCATCATGCACACTAACTGGGGAATCGACTGTCTGCTCCTTCATTCATTCTTAACAGAGATCCTGGGAGGGTGGAGAGGATGCAGCGCCTGTGTGGACTGCAGGGGAGGTTTAGAAACAGCTGTGTAGGTCTGGTCAGTCACCAGCCCTCTGAGAGCTCTGGGGTTTGGAGGTGGAGCAGGTGAGACCAGAGCCAGTGGGGAGGTGCTGTGGCCCTGGTCCAGCTGGAAGAGGAAGCAGCCCTGTGGAGGGGGGACAGTCCCTGTGTTTGTGTTTTGTGTTCTCATGCCCTCGCCTCCAGGAAGCCTGCCCTGATTTCCTTTCCCTTCCTCCAGGGCCTCCCCTCCACTGATGGTCTTGGCCCTCACTGGGGCCAAAATTTCCCAATCTAGACTCAGCGATTATCCTTGCTGGGAGGTGCTTTAAGCTCGGAAGAGGTTTGGCATGTTGGGAAACTGAGGCTCAGAGAGGGAGAGTGACATGCCTGAAGATACAGTGAGTGAGTGGGTGGCAGAACTGGGGTGGACCCCAGGCTGCTGCTGCTGGTTCTTCCTGCCTTGCTGCCGTCCAGCAGTGAGGAGGCTCCATGGCGCCAGCTGCCTAGACTCAGGAAAACACATTTTTTCCTTCTGTCCTCACAGAGCAAGCTCAACAGGCAGAGAGGGGCTCCTGCCAGCGTGGGCAGCCGCCAGTCCCTCAAGAGCAATTGCGGTCCCACCTCCAGTGTTGGAACCCACAGCCCTGGGGCTCAGCTCGGCTGGGTTCCCAGGGGAAAGGAGAAGAGGCCAGGAGGGGTGAGGTCCCTGGGGTCAGCCAGGCTGATGGGGATGGGGGACCCAGGCACCTTGCCTTACACCCCAGAAGCCCTGGCAGCAGGCTGGAGGCTGAAAGCCTGGGGTGACAGAAAGCCCCCTCCATGTGACTTGTCCTCTGTGCGTGACTATTGAGCAAGGGCATTCCTGGGCACACGTGGGTGCCTCAGCTGATGCCAGGAGGAGGTTGGGCTGAGGCCAGAGCAAGGGATGGAGAGGAAGAGCAGGATCAAAGCCTTCCTTGGGCTGAGTGTGGTAGCACATGCCTGTAATCCCAGCACTTGGGAGGCTGAGACAGGATCACCGCAAGTGCAGGGCCAGCCTGGACTACATAGTGAGACCTTGTCTCAAAACACCAAAACAAAACCAGAACACACACGAGCACACATGCACACACCCAGGCCCTCCTTGGCCCCGAGTCCTTAGGCCCACTGCAGGCTTCTGACGAAGACAGGCGGTGGCCAGTTCATCTCAGGGCCACCCTGGAAGGCTGTGTCCAGAAGGGTTCTGAGGCTGCATCCAAGTTGGTGGGAAACAGCGCCGTGTTGAGCAAGATCAGGGCTGGGCTACTCATTGGGAATAAGTGCTGAAAGCAGAGAGGGGTGATTTGGGATAAGCCACCATGTGCAACTCCTGATCTCACCTAAGCTGCTTGGACTTTACACACTAATGCTGTTATCATCATCCCACTTTACAGGGGAAGAGAGCAGGCCAGGGTTGGGGAGGCACATAGATCTCTATGCCCTCGTCCTGGGCGTGGCCCTGTGCTGGGTGACCCTGGACTACTCCATTGCCCTCTCTGGATGTGCCTTTCTGAGCTGCCAAGAGGTCCAGGGAGGTGACTATGAGGGATCCAGAGTCAGTCTTGGGCTTTGGAGGTATTCAGAATCCTCCCTATTTTCGGGGAGGCAGCTGCTCACCTGCTGTGTGACATCCAGCCAGTGACCCTGCTCTCTGGGTCTCCGCCTCCCCTTGGGCTAAGTAGGGAAGCGGAGCCAGGTGGGCTGTCAGCCTTTCTTGGGCAGGCTGATATGGAGTCAGGGCGGGACCCCAGTGCTGGCTTCCAGTCAGAGCAGCAGTTTCAGAACCTCCTGGATGTTTATGCCCTCTACAGTCTACACACTTGCTTCCATTGAAACCCTGCAAGGTGGGGATGTTCCGCCCTGTGGATGGAAAGTGGAGACCCAGGGTTGTGCAGCCTGGAGAACACAGGGATGGGACTCACACTCGGACTCGGGCTTGCCTCCCAAGCCAGGGCTCCCTGTTTCCTTTGGGCAGACGGATGGGATCCCTTCTGCTCCTTCTCGTGCTCCTGTGACATCGCTACCACAGAAGCCAGGAGGCAGATGGAGAGCCAGAAGAGCTGGAGACAGGGGCTCTTCTCTCAGACTGGCGTGAGCTTGGTAGACACTAAGAAGCTGGGAGACGCCACCCGTGCCCGCACCAGCACCCAGTGTGCAACCCCCTCCCCCCCCGCCTTGCATCTAGGGGGACACACAGTTTACCTCGGGAGGAGGACAAGGAGGGCTTCCTGGAGGAGAGGTCTGTGCCCAGGCTGGGATGAGCAGGAGATGGCTGCTCATCTCAGAGGGCTCATCTCAGAGGACGGAAAGGAGGAAAGCATTATGTCACGAGGCTGGGGCCCAGCCCAGCGGCAGGAAAGTGCGGGGCGGGAGGAAATGGAAGAAATTCCTCCCGCTGGAATGCAGAAGGAGGCGGGGTGGTGGGATGGGGCCTGGGGTGCCTGTTCTCAGGACAGCGGGAGCCAGGGAAGGTTTTGATCTGGGAGGCAGCAGGTCTGGTTCACAGATTCACAGGGTGGAAAAGCCCTGCAGTCGCTGGGGGAGGGGACCTGGGGCCGGCAGGGCAGTGTGCTGGGACCTCCCCAGGTGTGGGCAGGTGGCCCTTCTGGTGGCAGGAAAGGGTTGCTGAGAGTGGCATTTGAACGTCTCTAAGTGGCATCTGGAAAGTCAGGGTAGGTTCTGTGTGATTTGCCCGGGCAGGATGGGGCGGGGCACAGAGGCCCCCAAGGAGAGCTGGGGAGGTGGAGCAGCCAGGGCCAGGTAGGGAAACTGAGGCCCGACCCGCACTGAGCCTGTGGGTTCGGCAGCTTGGGGATCCACCCTGTGAAACAGGCCTTACCTGCTGCTTGCACCTGGGATCAGCGCCGGAAGCTGGGAGTGGTGGTGCATACCTGTGATCCCAGCTGTGAATTTGAGACCACCTGAACTACATCGGGAGACCCTGTCTCAACCCCTCTCCCCCCAGAAAAGAAGCCTGGAAGTTCTGAAGACCCGCTCAGCTCCAGGGCCACAGCAGCTGCCTCTGCCAGGGAATCTCTTGAAGTGTCAACTTCCCTTTCCTCTCCCACTCCTTCCGTCCCTCTGAGCTGCCAGACCCCTGACTGCATGGGCCAGCAGGGGCTGGGGGTTCCCAAGAAGGCTGGACTGTCCCCACCTCAGCCTGAGTCATACTGAGAGTTCAGACATTTGGGCATGTGCTGTGGCCCAGCAAGGTTTAGGTCCTGGTCAATGGGACAATACCTCTGCCTGGAGACACAAGACCACTTGTGGGGGAGATAGACACTGAGCGAATCTGTAACATGTATGAGTAATGAGTCTACATGGTGAGAAGTTCAGTGGAGAAAGAGGTAGGGAAGCACTTGTGTCTTGCGTGTCCAGGCTGGGAATTCTAAGCTGAGTTTTGTTTTGTTTTGTTTTGTTTGGAGACAGGGTCTCATTATATAGTTCAGGCTGGCCCTGAACTTACTCTATAGCCCAGGCTGACCTCGAATTCATGGCAATCCCACCTCAGCCTCCTCAGGGCTGGGATTACAGGTGTGCGCCAACATACCTGGCTGAACATTTACAGAGAGACCTGAAGGATGATGAAACGGACTTGGGGGCTGTCTAGGGAACAAGACTACCAGGTGGAGGGAGCAGCTGGTGCCAGGGCCCTGGGGGCACTCACTGTGTGTCTGAGTACAGCAAGAGGCCGAAGGGCTGAGCAGGAGCAGAGGCCACATCACCAGCACCTGGGGCCTCTGAGGTGACCTGGCTTTGCTGCCAGTGGGATGAGAGCCAAGGAAGGGTCCTGAGACAGAGGTGACAGGATCTTTCATCTCCCACTATGTCCCCAGGTGTCACCTAGGTCTTCCCAATGTGTTGGAGGCGGGGCTTACTCCCGATTGGCTCCACAAGGCAGCGCAAGGAGCCAGGGCCTGGGCCTGTTTGTTTTTTCAGGTGGTCTTGCTATGTAGCCCAGAATTTACAGTCCTCCTGCCTCAGCCTCCTGAGCTGTTGGTATTACAGGTGTGGGGCCAGCTGGACCCAGCTTTTTATGTTTGTTTTTGTGCTACTGGGGATGGAAACCCAGGACCTTTGCACTGAGCTACATCCCAGCCCTTTTTATTTTGAGACAGGGTCTTGCCAAGTTGCCCAGCCCGGGCCCAAACTTGTGATCCTCCTGCCTCAGCTCCCGAGCCACTGGGATTACAGGTGTGCACCATCCTGCCTGGCTGGACCCGGTTTTTGCCCCCTGATCTGTAGCAGTCTGGCCATTGCTAATGCACACAACTCACTTCACAGAGTAACTTCCTTCATGGTCTCCTTTGCTCCTTCCCACATTACCTCTCCAAGGGAACTGGCAGATGGGGAAACTGAGGCTCACACCGAAGAGGCGATAAGATCGGATCACCTGGGGACAGAAAGCCCCGCTGCTTCGAAGGGGCTGGGAGACGGTCCCCTTCTCCAGCTCACAGCATTGACCCCTGGCCCCTAGGATGTCCTTCTGTGAGTTTTTATTCACCTGTCTCTCCAGTACTGAGGATGTGGCAGAGTTCAGTGAGGCGTGGTGGCGCACACCTGTAATCCCAGCATTCAAGAGGCCGAAGCAGGAGGATCACTGCGAGTTTGAGGCCAGCCTGGGCTACACAGCGAGACACTGTTTCAAAAATAACAACAACTTCCATGTGGAGGAAGAATGGCTGGTGGTGGCCAGTTCTTTAGTGCATCTTTATTAATGAACACCTGCTATGTGCTGGGCACTGACTTTGGCATTGAGGCAGTGGTCAGACAGGCAGTGCCCTCGTGGGCTTACATTTTGGTGGAGGAGGGTGGAAGGGAGACAGATCATAAACCAGACAAGCCAGACACGGTGGCCTGCACCTATAATCCCAGTTTCTTGAGGGGCTGAAATGAGAGGATCATGGGTCAAGGCCAGCCTGGGCAATGTATTGGGACACTGTCTCAAAAAAACTGCAGAAGAGGTGACTGTTATGAGGGCTCATAAATGAGGTTAATGATGTGACACAAGGGTGTTTTAGTCAGGATGGTCAGGAAAGACCTCTCTACGAGGTGGCACTGGGCAAAGACCTAAATGATAAGGAGTCACTATGGGGAGACAGAAGAGTAAAGAGAACAGCAAGTGCAAAGTCCCTGAGGTTGGAACGATCCGTTTAAGGCCCTGTGGCTGAACCAGTGGGGTCGAAGGTGGTAGGTATTAGTTCTAAGATAGCAGGGGGCTTGAATGCCAAGGTAGTGAATTTGGATTTTACTTTAAGTGGGGAAAAAAGTGACCTTGACCCCCGTTCTCCTCCAGGTCTCCAGCCCGAGGGCACTTGCTGTAGGCATGTCTGTGGATCCCTTGTCCAGCAAAGCCCTGAAGGTGAGGAGTCAGCTGTTGCCCCCTCCCTGCCCATGCACAGCCTCCACGTTCCCAACTTCCCTTTTCCTTCCCAGAATCTCCAGGGGTGGCTCGGCAGGCGGCAGGAGTTTGTGGTGGCACCGGGACAGGCCACTTCCCGCTCTGGGCCTGCTTCCCCGTTCTAAGGTGCTTTCCGTGCTGGGTTTCTCTGGCTGAGTCAAGGACTTGACGCTTGGTTAGATTTTAGCTGAGCCCTGGGGTGGCCTCCTTTTGTGTTCGGATCCCGGCTTGGCCTGGTTTCTCCTTTTGGGACTCCTACTCCCCGTTTAAGGTCTTGGATCAGGTCCAGCCGCCGCCTCGGTGGCCAAGGCCGTGCCCGGGACGCACGCGGTGGGGGGTGGCGGAGTAGACCCGGGGCCTCAGTCTCCCCGCGCTGTAGGTCAAGCGCGAGCTGAGCGAGAACACGCCGCACCTGTCTGACGAGGCACTGATGGGGCTGTCAGTGCGCGAGTTGAACCGGAACCTGCGCGGGCTCTCGGCCGAGGAGGTGACGCGGCTCAAGCAGCGGCGCCGCACGCTCAAGAACCGCGGCTACGCCGCCAGCTGCCGCGTGAAGCGCGTGTGCCAGAAGGAGGAGCTGCAGAAGCAGAAGTCGGAGCTGGAGCGCGAGGTGGACAAGCTGGCCCGCGAGAACGCGGCCATGCGCCTGGAGCTCGACGCGCTGCGCGGCAAGTGCGAGGCGCTGCAGGGCTTCGCGCGTTCGGTGGCTGCGGCCCGCGGGCCGGCCTCACTCGTGGCGCCAGCCAGCGTAATCACCATTGTCAAGTCCGCGCCGGCCCCCGGGCCCGGCCCCGCCCCCGGGCCGGCCGCCTGCACCTAGTGTCTGCTGTGCCCCCGCCCACCTCCCCACGCTAACCACGCCCCCTACCCCGCCCTTCCCAAAGTGCCTGAGCGCGTTTCTGTTCCCAGGTCCCATGTGCCCAACACATTCCCTTCCTGGGCTCTGTCTTACTATTGCAGTCCCCCAAACTGGGACCCAGTATTCCTGGGGAGGGGCACCTTCGCTTGGTTGGCAGGCATCTCGGGTAAGGGTTTCCCGTGGCTAGAAGCTCATCCTTTCCTAGATCAGGAGGGCCTGGATGTGGAGCCCGCTCAGGGAAGCGCGATTGGGGAGGAGGCCATGCTGCCTCCTTGGGAGTGTGGGAAACTGGTTAATGGGGCCAGTATGCCCTCCCACCCTCTGGCCCGGACCCGAACCCCAACTCGAACTCGGTCGAGGTTTGGCACTGTGGGTGACGGGCTCCCCTGCTGAGTCGATGCACTGAAGAGACTCCCACTTCTCTTTGGGTCTGGGGGTGCCTGGCTTTCTAAAGCTCTGAGGGTCAAAGCTAGTGAGGCCCAGCTAAGATGCGGACCCACCCCCAGCGTATAGGACGGTGTTCAAGGCCGCATATCCCTTAGTGACTGAGCTGGAACAAAAACGTAGGCCTTTTCACTGCTACCCCAGGGTTCCAGCCATGGTTTCTCATGGGGGACAGCAGACAGGGAGTGATGAAGGTGGTGAGAGGCCTCCCGAGCCAGGAGCACAGCTATCTGATGGAAGGGGAAGAGAAGCAGAGGGAAAGAGAAGGTGATGTAGATGGCTGATGGGAAACAGGCTGGCCAGCCAAAGAAGGAGACATTGGAGGTGACCATTGTGGAGGTAGAGGTAGGAAAGTGAGACAGTCTGCAGTCCCGAAGCATGGAGTGAGACCCTGGAAGGAAGGCTCTCACCTTACCCATAAGTGTCCCCCGTGGGATGGGAGTGGCACTGCTGTGCAGAAGCCCAGCCTGGCCCCTCCCCTAGCGCTGTACACAGCCGCCTCCTCTGCTGTTTATTTATTGCATGAATCTAAGTTATTCTCCCCAGCCAGAGCCCAGCTCCTGCTGCCTGGGAAGTGGCGTTTTGGGCCTGAGCTGGGCTTTATATTTTATATATATGCAAGTCGCATTTTATCTTATATTTAGGGAAGGCCAGGTGGCAACAACGTTTTTTTTAAAAAAATTGCCCGGCCCCCAGAATTTATTTATTTTCTGACTTACAGTGAGCGAGTTATCTGCCTTCTGTATTTTGTAGACTTTCTGAATAAAGTCAAGTTCTTTTCCGCAGGGGTGTGTGTGTTCTGGGTAGTGTTCTGGGGAAGGGGTATGGTGGCAGGCCTTCGGGGAGGTGCGCCCCATCCATCACTAGCTCAGGGTGGCTGGATGGGGCGCTACTGAAACTTGAGTCCTTCATCAGCTTGCTGAGTGCCTAGGAGCCTCCTTTGGGTAGGGTTAAATTCCCTGGGCTCCCTGCAGGGAGTACTCAGTCCTACCCAGAGAGGAAAAACCCTGAATTTCAGAGAAACCTTCCCAGCACTTTCACACTGAGGTCTGATGGTCTACAGCCAAGCTGGAAACGTTTCCCCACGTTCTGGAGGCAGAGAGAGAAGGGGCCTCCTCAGTCCCAGCCTGCAGGCCTGCATCTCAGTCCTGGGTCTTGTCCTAGGCTCCAAATTCACATCAACCCACTCTGCCAGGCCTGCTGGAACACCCCGAGGAGACAGGGTAGATGGTAGTCTTCACATCAGGGAATCAGGGTTTGTATACAGCTGTGTGTCTTTTCCTAGTGCTGTGGTGAGACTCCTGGTGTTCTGGCTTCTTGATGCTTCAATTTACCCAGAAGTGGAAACAGGTGCTGAGATCACAGGTGTGAAAAGCAGTGCGGCCTGAAGGACTGCAGGCTTTAAGAGCAGAACCAATGTCCCCCAGAAGGGCTGGGAGGACCATTTGTGGCTGGGTGGGGATTTGAGTGTGGGAACGGGCCAAACTGCATGGCTGGGCCAGTGCACTGCCTTCCTCCCTCAGTTTGGGACCCTACCAAGGGCTCCATTCTGAAATGCTGAGCGAACGCCTGCGGTATGGGCACGGGCAGCAGGAAACAGGAGGGATAAGTCAGCTATTTACCTCCACCACTGCTGGCTGGGAATCTCCCCTGCCCACGCCACATTCCTGAATGCTCTTGTCAACACCAGGCCAGGCCCCTGAAAGGCATGAAGGCTGGGGGGCAAGGTGCCCATGGTCCAGCACCCTGCCCAGGACCCTGGACTCCTTGGGTGCCAGTTGAGGATGGCTCCAGAGGGCAGGAGAGAGCCTGGATTCCAGTGGACCCCTGGGAATCCTTCACTCCCTGGGAAATGTCTGTGGACAGGGCCTCGGCGTGGGTCCAGCTACCTGGGCCCTACTCTGGTGGGGAAGAAAAGCCCTGTGAGCAGCTGGCTGGGGGACCCAGATGTTGACTTTAGTACTTAGTGCAAACCCTATCACCTACCTGTCACATGGGGGAAGGGGGGAGACCCCTGCCCACTCCACCACACACCCCCAAACCCAAGGGGTCGGGAACAAACCTCACCGCAGGCAGAAGAGATTTCAATACAATCTATATTATCTCATATATATATCTCTTCCTCACTTTATTTGCTCACTTCTGTCACGCATTTAAAATGTCAGAGACCAAAATAGAGTGGCTTTCTGGTGGAACTCATGGCAATCATACGAGATACAAAACTAAGGGACTCTGTCTTCTCATACATCATACAATTAATTTTTCAAGTATTTTTTATGTACAAAGAACTACTCTATCTGGAAAAAAAAAAAAAAAAAAGACAAGGTAGGTTATGCATCCCAGGAAGGAGGGGATAGAGCAGTTGGGCCTGGGTTTCCATCCCCGTGTCCCCAGAGACCACTTGTTCCCTGCCACCAAGCTCCCCTAGCCCCACCCACCCACACTAGTGGGCACGATCCAGGATGGGCAAAGACCAAGAGGGCCAGGAACCGGCAACAACACGCTTTGGCCTGGAAGGAGAAGGAAGATGTGTCAGAGAAACAGATCTGTGAAAGACAACGTGGGAAGGAGGCAGAGCTGCTTCCGGAACAGCCTGCACCTGCAGCTGCCTTCCAGGGTGGTCTGGGACCAGCTGGCCAGGCCCACCCAGATGGGCTGGAGAACTGGCCACCAGCACCCCCCCCACAGCCCCTGAGCCTGAGGGGACAGCGAGGCCAGGCAGGTGCACCACCAGAGCCTCCCCCCAGACCCCAGGGAGGCAGCCTGTTCATTCCAGGGGTGACCAAAAGAGCAAGCTTCCAGTGTGCCACAAGGCAAGGACCCTTCTCCCACCCTCCCATCAACTTCTGTAGCCCAAACCCAAGTGCTCCCTGAGTTTCCAATGCCCGGACTCAAGGCCTGCATGAACATGCCACCTCCCAAGGGTCTTCCCAAGGTGGTGACTGGCAGAAGGCTGGCCTGTCTGGGCCTCCAGCACTGGGAACATGGGCATGAGGCAGTCAGGGAGGGGGAACAGGCAGCCCTGGCCACCGCTGCAACCTGTCCACGGGTGTCTGGGCCAACACTGTGGGATCCTGAGTGCCAGCAACTTACCAGGGAGCCCCCTGGGGGCATCTGGACAGATGAGGGGGCTGAGAGGGACTTTCATATGTGACTAAGGCACAGAAGAGATGGGCAGGGGACCAGACAAGGCAGAACAACAGGCTCCGTGTGGACAGGGGCTGGGAGAGGAGTCTGGGACCATTCTTCCCATCTCCGGGCCCCTGATGCATGGCCATCCCTCCTGTCCTCCCTGGATGCTGGTCTGAAATGTGGAGGCTCAGACCTAAACCCTGAAGGGGATGGGGAGGCCTGGAAGGAGAAGGAAACGCCTGAACCCTGGGGCAGCCAGGAAGCAAGGGCTTTCCTCAAACCCATCGAGAATAGGACCCGGGTAGGGCAGTGCAACCGCCCTCTGCAGGCCAGGAAGAAGGGGCAGGATGTGGCCCTAACAGATGAGGACAGCCAGGGCCAAGAGCCCCCTACTCCTAGGTGGGGCCTGTGGCTCCTGGTATCTGGCTTTGATCCTTGCAGCATGCCAGGTGGGCCTAGATCAGGGAGGGAGGGTGTCCAGGGCATCCATATCCCCTCCTCCTGCCAGCCTGGGGTGCGGCGGATCTAGGCTCTAGCATTGGACAAGGGTGGGCAGGGAGGGAGCGGGCAGGGAAGAGAACAGGTCAGGGTATTGCACAGTATGGGGTGGGCGGGCCTGACAGGGGAGGGGCCTGGAAGGCTGGTCCCAGTGTGCTGTGCCTCTACCACAGGCCAGGCAGCGGGGACATGGGAGCTGCTCCCAGACTCCTCTGCTCTGGCTGCGCAGTGCAGGGCTGGCTGTGTATAAATATTCCTGAAGGCTCATGGGTGAGCCTGGGCTGTCCCCAGCAGAGAGGGCTGGGCTGCTCCTCTGGGAGCGATATGTTTCTGGTCCAATAAATAAAGGGCACTGGCAAAGCTGTGCCAGCTGCCTCCTGGCCTGGCTGGGAGGCTGGAGGAGGGCACGTTGCCCCGGCCAAGGCGCCCACACCTAGAACTCGTCGTCAGAGCTGAGCAGGAGCGTCTTCTCAGTGTCTCGAGTGCCACTGAGGCTGTGGGAGCGCGAGAGGCCGTGGGCGCCGCCCCGCCAGGTGGGCCCAGGCTCCAGGGTGGACTGCTGTGTGTACTGCTGGTAGGCAGGCGAGAAGTTGTGGATGGCGTCCTGCACAATGTCATGTGGGTTCATGGTCTCCTTGAGGCTGCTGGAGATGCTCTTCATGGGGGCGCAGCGGCCTGTGGGCAGGAGCAGGTGGGGTGAGGGAGGGCCACATGTCCTGGGACAGACCCAAGCCCCAGGCTATCATTCAGCCCTCCCCTCCTGGAACAGACCTGAGCAGGGACAGGACAGAGGTGCCGCTGCTGGCAGGGAGCAGGATGGAGTGGGCAGGGAGCCCAGCACTGGCAGCTGAGCAGGCAGGCACAGGGGACTCGGGTGGACAACAGCAACCTGTCGGCTGTGAGCCCTGAATGAGCGCTCCAGGCTCCAGTGCCAGGCCTGTGCCCCACACGAGTGCTCTGCCACTATGAGCAGTGATGGGTACACAGTGGCCCATCAGCAGCGGGCTGGTCTACTGGCTCTCCTGCTGAGGGGAAAGGAGCTCCCTGCTCTCATAGCTTCCTCCTAATTCTCTAATGACCAAATCCAACCCTAGACCCAAGACTTCTGACCCAGACCTGAGTCTCCGCCCTCTGTGTTCTCTGCTAAATGCCCCAGCTATTCCTTAACTGGCCCGGGCTCCTGGAACAGAGCAGGGTGAAATCCAGAATAGCCAGAGGCCAGGACAGAAGCAGGCAGGAAGGGACCCTCAGCAGCTGGTGCTCTGGGCTCCCCCAGACGGTGCCTGTGAGGATGGGATGGGGACACAGAGGGGCTACAGAGAGGCATGCTGGTGATAGTGACCAGTACAGACGTGCAGGACAGACGTGCAGACAGAGCAGGACCTACCGTAAGGGCCGTATGTTGGCACTGCCCGAGGCCAAACCCGGGGCAAGTGCAGGGCAAGGGGGTGGGGAGAGAAGCCAGAGAGATAAAGAGACAGCTGAGTGAAGGAACTCACCCGGCCCTCCCAGTCCCCATGGCTCCACAGGCTGCCCCTTTGGACTTAGGGAGACACCTGCCTCGGGCAGACTCCTCCCAGGTGTTCAACAGGGGCCATCCTGACTAATAGTATGAGTTCCCCTGTCATGCCTGGACCAGGATGCCCCACCCCGAGGTGTCCCAGCCTTGGCTGGGCCGCATCTGCCTGCATACAGCCACATGTCACAGACCTGGAGACGCCTCCCAGACGAGGACATCGAGGCTCAAAGTGGGGATCATTCAGCAGAGCTGGTGGTGCACCCTGGCCTAATGCGTGGTCTAATGTGAGCCTCAATTAGAGTTGGACCAGCGAGGAGACAGAGAGGGAGGAGACAGGCAGGGGCAGGAGCAGCAGCAGCTTGCCTGGCCAGGCTGCATCGCCAACTGGGATATTTCTTGCTGGTGAGTGGGTATGGGGATTGTGTGTGGAAAGACTGCCCAGGCTGGCAGCAGGGAGCCTCAGCAGAGGCCCCAAGGTGTGGATAGGTTTTTTCCCTGCCTCTTGAGGTGGCCCCGGACTCCAGGCCCAAGGGTGACATTCCCACAGGCACAGGCTCTGCCAAACCTGGTCCAAGGGACATGGCCTTCCACACCTGGTATGTGTGTCAGGTCCTTCATGTTGGGGCCTGGTGGGAGGCAGGTGGGGCAGGAGGTCGGCCACAGAGCAGTTGTGCAATCAGAGCCCAAGGCAGTGACCACAGCCTACTGACAGGTGTGTAAGGGGACAAAGTCCAGCAAAGGCACTTTAAGGCCTCTTTGCAACCAGGGCAGAAACAGGGAGGGAGTGGGCCAAGGAGCACTGATACCTTCCATGCCATGTGCATGGGCCTGCAGCAATGCTGGGGAAGTGGGTTTCTTGTCTCAGGCCACTCAGGAAGACAGCTGGCCCCTGGGTGGACACACTGGACAGGCTTCCCTCTCCTCAACCTCTGCTGTTCCTCCTGGATCCAGCCTTCTCTGCTCACCTGGCCCACTGCTTCTCCAGGCACCCAGTCTCCCCAGAGCTCCTAAGCACATGCTGCCACCAGGCCAAGGGCAGCAGGGTCTCCAACAGTGGCCCCACAGCACCCTTCAAAGTACTCCAGGGCACTCTCCTGTACAGCCAGGGCTGCTAACCCCACTCCAAACGGGATAATTAGTGGGCGTAAAGAAGCTATTAAAGGCTATTACCACCTACTCTGCTTCTTAGAAGTCAGCAAAGCTGTTTGTTTTGTTTTTTCAAGAACTTCAGAAGGATGGAATTACAGGACAAAACAAGTAACTGTACACAGTGCTGGGTGTTAAGAGCCCTCAGAAACCTATCTATTTGTTAAAGTCTCTGTCCCCCCTGGCTCTCCACACTCAGGTCTACTGCAGGAGACAGGTGGGTTACAACTCCCTAATGCTGGCAGCAGGGCCAGGGCCCCTCCTGCTGTGACACCTTTCCCAGGGAAATTCTCTGGAACTCCCCACTCCTCCCCCGTCCCCAGGACCCCACTCACACCTTGTGCATCCAGCCTCTTGTCCGCATACACTTTGTAGGTGAAGGCATGCCGCAGGGCCAGGGCCGCGAAGAACATCTCCACACAGATGATGAAGTCCTGGTAGCCGGCAGCCACAGTGCCTTCGCCCACTGACACACGGGCCGAGTGGATCTTGGGGATGGCCCCACACTTCTCCAGGATGGCCAGCAGCATGCCTGGGCAGGAAGGCACTGTCTGGCTCAGACTGGAGCCCTTCCTAGGCCCCTCTCTTACACGCAGCCCCACCAGATGCCCACACTCCCCAAGGAGGCTGGAAGGGGGCACAGTTGCTCCTTTAAAACAGGGACGGGGACACAAAGCCAAGGCCTCCAAAAACCCCACTGTTCCATCTCCCTGTCAGCCACCCAAACTGGAATGTCACCAATTATGTGGGTCTCCCCCACCCAGGAAATGGCACCCCCAAAGTTTCCTCAAAGGGGCTGTGAGAGGCCCTAGACCTCACCTCCAGGAGGTGCACAGTGGGCTGAGGCCCCTCTGAGACCCTGGCTGGGCTCCTGACGGATATCCCTGTGGCCTGGGCTCCACAGCCCCACAGACATGAACAGGAGAGAAGGGACAGGGTGATGCAGGCATCGGGAGGCTGGGAGGAGGCTGACCTTGCCAGAAGGAGAGAAAGATGACAGACTTGACCATGAAGAACTTGAGGACGGGGCTGTAGGGGCTGAGCAGCTCCCGGGTAGCAAAGTAGAAGAGGAAGAGGGCGTAGAGGGCCAGGCTGACCGAGATGTTGTAGATGATTGTCACGTAGAGGTAGCCACTGGTGACACTGCGGAACAGGCACACTCTGGCTGGGACCAAGTCTGCTGCGGGCCAGGTCCCGCCCTCCTCAGCCCTGACCACAGCTGATGCCCCAGGCTCTGCAATGAGTGCTGGAGGGTCGGGTGGGTGATGGATCTATTTCTGCTGCCTCATACCATGTCCCAGTCAGGGGCCGTGCTAGAGGCCACAGCCTGATGGTCAAATAACCAGTGTCAAAGCTTGTTCCTCCACCATTTCATGTGGCCAAGTTACTTCCCCAGGCTCAGTTTGCTCACCTGCCTGGGCAGGTGGTACAGGGTACAGGGTACAGGTGGTGGGTACGATGTGGTTGCAAGCACAGGCCCAGCAAGCCACTGATTTCAGTGACCCCCACATGAAATGCACATGGACAATTTACAGTGGGGACTCTTTATATGTGGACTCAGCCAGCCTCTGACTGCCAGCCTTGGGAATGGCCACTGCCCTTGCCTGGCTCACCCTGGCAGCACTGTGCGCTTGGACATGAGCATGAATGTGACTATAAGCCAGGGCTGGCTCCTGGGCTGGTATGGGGCCAAGTGCAAAGGTGGCCACTGCCAGGCTCAGGCTAAAGGTGCAGGGAGATGTAAGCACTGTGATGCTCAGCAAGCACACGGCCATGGGGCCTGTCTGGCTGCCCCTGGCCCTGAGCCAGGGCACTGCAGCAGAGCCAATGCTCCTCTCATGTGCCTGAGAAAGGATCCACGGCTTACTCGAAGTCCCCATCCCGGTACTTGCCGAAGGCTTGGAGGACCACAGTGCTGACGGCCATGAGTGGCTTCACCACGCAGAACTGCAGGGTAGCCTGTGAGGGAGAGAAGGACAGGGACAAGCATGTAAAAAGCACCTCCTCTAGGGGCTAGCCTAGGGTGCATGTGGGGGACAGAGGGGAGGACTCCATGACTTGCCCCCGGGGGGACCACTTTTGGCAGGGGAGGCAAGAAAGTGGGAGACAGTGACAATGCAGTGCAGCTGTATGAGGATGGGAAGAGACAGGAGGATGGTGGGGAAGGAAGGACTAGCAATGCAGGGCACAGGGCAGGAGGCAGGAGACACCATCAGAGAAGGCTCAGAGTGGGAGGACGGACCATCAAGAAGGTGCACAAATGAGAGGGGCCACTCTCCCCTTCTAGGTAGAGGATGCAGCTCAGACAAAGACCCAGAGGGACAATGGGGACATGTGCAGGGCTAAGCACTGGGGAGAACAGCAGCAGAGAGTGGCTGGGAAGATAGGTAGGCAGGTCCCGGAAGCCTCAGTGCTCTGGGTAAGGCTGGCCCCTGCTGAGGATTGGCCACAAAGACCACAGCTAGATGAGGGGTCCTTCTGCCCTCCTCGCCCATCCTTGCCCCATGCTCTGGCCCCAGCCCAAGGCTACTGACCGGTGGTGGAGATGGCCTATAGGAGCGGCAAGCAGGGACAGGACCCAGCCCACACGTGGGGTCTGGAGTCCCCAAAGCTGAGACTGAAGTACCTCAGGTAGTTGCCTGGCATGAGCAGCAGCCTCCGTGATAAAAGAGACATAACCAGCCCCTCAGCACAGGCTCACTGATGTAGGGACAGGAGTACCACAGAGTGGTGTCCTCCTGGAGGTCTCCCACTATGGGCTCTCAATGCAGGCTCTGTGAACCTGCTCAGCCAACAGATATCCTTGGCCAGGCTTCCACAATTCCTGCAGAGGCCCTATGAACTCTGGGGGCGTCCATGTGCCCCAGAACCCCTGGAGCCACACACCGCACAAAGCAAGTCCACCTGCACATGAGGCCCCAGTGACGAGCAGTGGTGCTGGGCAGAGGCTCCCAGGTCCTGGGGCTGGAGCAGAGAGCAGCCTGTACTGTGGGACTGCCAAGGAAGAGGCGTGCTTGACAAGCAGGGCTGTGGTGCTACTGCCAGAAAACCCCACAAAAGTCCCTTAGCTCCAAACACTGCCTGGAGGAAATGGGACCAGCCCCTGTGGGGAACAAGGAAGAGCAGCAGGTCACTCAGAATGCACATGAGGAGCTGGCCAGCTGCTTGCTGTGATGTGAGTACTACTGCTATCCTCTGTCACAGAAGAAGAAACTAAGGAACTGAGCAGCCCAAATGGCAGATGCAACACTGGAACACTGGGCCACCAGGCCCAGAGCCATTGCCAACTACACCCTGGGTCAGCTAGGCTGGATGTCTGTGTCACCTGGGGAGCCTCCAACACATGCCATCCTGGGTCCCATTCTAGACCTTCTCTATCAAGCTGGGTGGGACGGCAGCCTGGGAATCTTCTCTTAACAAGTGCTCCGGGAGAAGATGACACAGCACGGCCTGAGATTGCCCAGGGCCTTCTGGGGCTCAGATGAAGCTGTGAGCACTCCCTCACCATGGGAAAGAGACAAGAGCCCTCATGCCTTTCTTCCTTCTACCACCTCTCCTGCCACCGCCAGCATCCAAGCCCACAGGCTGGGGAATCATTTACAACTTGGTGATGCTCACTGCCATCATAAGATCAAAACTTTGTGGACAATCTAATCATCCAACGAGGCCGTGAGTCACAGCTGAGCCTGGAACCTGGGCGGCAGAACCCCTTATAAACAGTGGCTCTTGATGCCCTACCCTGCATCTGGGAGTTTTAACTCCTTCTCTGCAGCCCCAGTATTGACTCTCAAGGAGAGCCCCCAGGAAGAGAGTGGGGGAAGGAAGCCCTCAAGACACTTGGCCAGGAAGAGGCCCTGAGGGTGTACGGCGATAGGCCAGCCCTCTAGCGGCCAACAAGACTTGGCTGCAGGTTTCATTTCCTCCCTGATTACTTGATGCTGGAGGGGCTGACAGAGGCCCCATGGAGACCAATGCCAGGTCCCCAAGACTGGGCAGAGAACCCTCATGAGCCAACACTCATATTAAAGGCTTTACCTCCCTGACCTCACTTTTCCTTACAACCACTCCTTCAGATAAGCATCATTACACCCGCTTTACAGAAGAGCAAACTACACTCAGAGTGGTTAAGTAAATTATCTGAGGTCACATGTCAGAGGAGAGGCTAAAGTCACGGTCAGACACCCTGGCTTCGGCATTTAATGTGGGACACCAGCATATTGCCTCTAGCCAGCCACTCTGCACCCCAGGAGGGTGGCCGAGGGAACTAAGCTTCTGCACTGCCACCTGCAAATGTGGGAAGAAAGCAGAGACCACACAGGTCTGTCTGTCCTGGGTCTTCAGTGCTGAAGCCCGCCTGCCCCAGCCACAGCCAGAAACATCTCAAACCAGAATTCTAGAATTCCATCCTCTGATTCACTCACACACGGAGACTTGGTCAAAAGGAGTAAGACTCTGGGGCCATCTCCTCCTGCCCCAAGTTACAGCACACATTCCCAGGATGCTGGTCACTGTCCATCTGAGTACGCTGCGGGCCTGAGGGAACTCCACAAATGTGTCCAGGGCGGCCTGCAGCATAGTCCTCCTTCCGGGCCCAGGTGTGGATTCCAGTCCCTAGCCTGCTCCCTGACCCAGGCAGCGGTGGTGACACTTACCTGCTTGCAGAACCGCAGAAATCCAATGGAATAAGTCTTTCCCCAGAGGCAGCACGTCCCGTACATGCAGCTGGACCTGGGAGAGGCAAAGTGAAGGAGAAGGGCTGGTGAGCTGAGCTCCAAGACTTGGGAGAGGTGGGTTGGGGAAGGCACCCTTACTCACACCAAACTGACGTGGCCTGAGAGCAGAGGCCAAGCTCAGGCAGGTCCTGCAAAGTGTGTGTATGAATAGCAGGCTGTGAGGGAACAAGGTGGCCCGGGCCACATGGTAACAGACCAACTCAGAACATACTGAATGTAAAACCATGAAGGGAGAAACAGACTACAGGAAAGGACAAGAGCAATGGGAAGACGCAGATGGCGAATGCCAGACACCCTCCCAGGAGTCCACATAAACGGCCTTGCTCAGGAAGTGTGGGAGAGGCATAGCTGGTCAAGGTTGTGGGGACAGAAGGTCCATGCATCCAGCTGACGCCAGGACAGACTGAAGAACATAAGGTCACGTGGTGCTCTGGGGAGACATGATACTCACTCGATGGGCTTCCCTCTGATCTCCGACATGATGGCGCTCTCTCCCCCAAGGTACTCATAGCACAGGCTCAGGAAATTGTAGATGACCAATGCTGTGGAGAGGCCCAGAGACAAGACTCAGGCCAGAAGTATGGGCAAAGAGCAGGCGGAATCTTAAACAGCCACAGCCACAGCAGCAACAGGGAGAAGCCTCAGACATCAGGTTGTCCAAATGAAGTCAATGTCCCATTTGTAAGTTCAAAGTCAGGTGCTGCTCAGTCACGTGCAGACAGACCCACATGGCAGTGACACTCAAAGAAAGGCCCAGAAGTGATCACCACAGATTGGGGGAATGGTGCTGGCAGGGCTGGCAGTGTGTAGTTCTGGGGTGAAATGATATTGGCTAGATAAGTATTTATTAGTTTTATTCCCCTATTTGTATATTATAGATCATAATTTTACACCAAGAAAACAATGCTGGAATCTCAAGAGAAATTCTAAGAAAGACTGAGAACAGAACTTTCATCTAACCTGCAGTGGAATCTGGCATACACAGAGCACCATAAGCTCTAACAAAACATGGGCAGGGTGTGCATAAAACCTGGTAAAAATGTCTTAGGGGGCTCAGTCAGCTCGTTGAATCAGGACTCAGCTCAACATCACAAAGACCCCAAATTTACAGCAGCAAGTGATGGCACAGCAGAAGTCTGCTGTGAATGCTGAGGCAATGATTCACCAAAGCTCTGCCAGGTCTGCAGGGTGGAGGATTTCTGCTGGGCCAGCTGTGGGGGGCCAGAAGCACACAATGGTGCCAGTATCCCACACTGCTTCCCAGCAGCAGCAGATGCCTCTTGCCTTCTGAGCAGGTTCTGTATTCATCCTGCTTTTGTACTTGGCTCCCCTGCCTCTGTACTCCCAAGTCCCATAACACCAGCTCCAGATTTGCTCTTGGGGTTTCACGATCTCAGCTCAGGGATCCTGACTGGCAGCCAGCCGCTTTCCAGTACTTCTTGCCTTGGTTCACATTTACCCACTGGCCCCAGTCACCTCAAAGGGGAAACCTGGGGCTGTGAACCAGGAGCTCTGGATGCTGCCTGCTGTGACACAGACTGCTGTTCTCACAGGGAGCCGCAGTCATTTAAAGGTGCTATGTCAGGACGTGGGGTGCAGTTCAGTAGAGAGTATGGGTCTAGCATGCTTGAGGCCCTGGGTTCTATCCCTAGCACCACAAAAATAAAGAAAAAAAAAGGTAGATGCTGTTTTCCTGAGATGTAAAAAAGCCACACATAATCATGACAATTCGTGACTACTGATAGGGGAAAGTAGATAATGTACCAAAGTAAAACAAAGCAATGACCGACTAGCCTCACAGGTACATGACCCCTGAATGGGAGCCCATCCTCAGAACATGGGCCCAAAATTGGCACCTGGGCAGGGCACAAGCATCTACCTACTTGAACCCAGGCACGCAGAATCCTGTAGATGTATTTTTAGGTGAAAGTTGGCCTTCAGTGATTTAGGAAGAAATATATTTGGGGTACTGTGTGTCACTCCCAATTGCTGAAATCTATTAAGGTCTCCCATCTTCACGGCCCTGGGCACATGTCACGCTTTGTGTGAGGCTATGACTCAGTCTCATCTCCTAGTGGGGATAAGAGGAGCACTTGCTGTGACAGCTGGTCGTGAGGTATAGGTAAACACACAAAGCACTCACAGAGGGACCAGCCCAGGGTGTCGAGCACTGGCTGTCTCAGCCATTACTGCAGTCCGCCTGCCTTCCTCTGCCTGGATACCCTGTGACAGGGTTCAGGACCCTGTGCGCTGCCTGGCCAGAACAGAGGCAGCCCAGGATGTCTGGTGACAGCAGGGCTCTCTACCATCTCTAGATCACTCTTTACTGACAAGAATCAGGGGTGGGCAACCAGACAAGTCTACAGTCAGCCTGCTGACAACCTTGTCCAAGATCACACAAGGCCAAGGGGATGGACATGTCCTTTCTATGCCAGGTCCAGCTGTGTTGTGACAGACGGTATTTTTCAGAGGCAGCCACACATTATGCTGTGATCCCCCTGCCCTGAGAAGTAGGGTCTCATTCCCTCCCTTTGCATCTGGGTGGACCTGGATGACTAGAGTGGGAGTGATATTTTATGACATCTGAAAAGGTCTCTTCCCCTGATTTTTTTCATCCATCTCATCTATTTCAAGATCCTTGATCTTTTAAAGGTGCTCTAGGGGCCAGCCAGTCTGTAAAATACCAATTTGCTAACAGTTTCTTTAAAGAATCATTAATGAGTCAATAACAGACTCACTGATTCTTTGAGAAAGGAGACAAGACAAAGTGCCTCAGACATGACAACCAGCCCAAGCCAGGCCCACTGACCACCTGGACCAATTCCGCCCCTTCCTAGGAAATTACAGACCTGAACAAAATGCCACCTCCTGCGGCTCATCAATGGTTTAAAATAGGATCCCACAACGCAAAGGCCTGGCAGCCTCTGGACCCAAGAGCAGAGAAGCTGAGACAGGACCAGCTTCTTGCCCGGCATCCTTCTGATTGTCTGACTGTGGTTCAAGTTTGGGTCCCTGAATGCAAAATGACCTGGGCCTCTCTGAGTCTCCACCACAGCCTGTGCACCAGGCTCTGTTCAGGCCCTTGGGACATCTCAGAGACCAGGGGACCTGAAGGGCAGACCTGCCAGTCCAGAGGGAAGAAATGGTCTCTCTCTTCCCTGTCCCAGACAGCCAGGTACCTGGAATTTTCTGTTCCATTCTAGGTAAAAAACTTAAACTAGTGACAACACATGCAATCCAGGGAGAAAGGCCAAGACAAGTAATCCAAAGACTAGACTAGTCTTGAGGCCTGAGGAGGATGACACAGGGCCATTCTTCATAGAAGTGACAGACACCTTGTCTACAGGTTCTGTCCATAGGTTCTGTCCTAGAACCCAATGGTGCTAGGCCAGAGACCAGAATGGGCAGAGCCCTCAGAGCAGGAGGGGTGAACACCCTGCTGCCAGTGGGAGCCTATGAGAGGCAGGCACCTCCCAGCAGAGAGGAGGGTGGGGTCCTTTCATACCCTAAGACCTGAGCCTTCCTTTCATTACTGGCAGCCTCTCTCATAACAGGTACAATATGTCACCCTCCTGGTGGGCAGGGGACCTGCTCCTATGCAAATGTCCCATGGTCAAACAGCAGCGCTTTCCACCCTCAAGGCTTCTTGTCCTTTACTGACCACGCATGTCCCCAAATGTTGTTTCTGACCTCTCTCCACTGGTTCTTCAGAATATCTTCCTTTACTCAAATCCACTGAGCTGTGTGTGTCAGAGGTGTGGCCAGTGGTGCCACTACCAGCCAGTGTTGTCCTCCTGGAAGCAGAGTGGCCCGTGGTTCATGTGTGGCCTGAGTCTGCCGTCCTCTGTGGTGTTTATTTATTCTGCTGTACTCTCCCTGCCTGTGAAGATGCCAGGAGGCTCAGACTGTCTAAAATCTGAGATCCAAAAATGAGTAAAGGAAGCCTCATTTTCCACCCATTCCTCTCACTCATGTAAAATGTGCCCTGCAGGGAGAAGCTGGTCCTCTCCTCTCCTTCACTAAGCCTGGCCCAGAGCAACTCGCGGCTCCAGGAACCAGGGGTGAGTCTGGCCTCTGGCCACTGTTCCCTGGCCACCTTGGCTGTTTTGCAGCCTACTTGAAAGCTGCTTTTTACATGTGTACAATTCTGATGGCAATGTATACTCCACTGGCTAAGTGGGAGGTGTCAATAAGCTCAGGTGAAGAAAAAATGGGGCAACACTGAACATCACACAAATGTACTTAAAACAGATTGTGTGACCACCTCTGATCATCAACTCCCCAGAGCTGTCTCAGAGTCTCGTTACCCCACCACCACCATGGTCAACCCCAAATGTATGCAGGCAGCTGCACCCCATCCCCTCTGTGTCTGCCCCTGCACAGCTTCCTCCCAGAGGGATGTCCCAGGGCCATGGAAATCAAGTCCTTGCCAGATGGATCTTGAGCAGGAACCTGGGCAAGTTACTTTACTGCTGTGAGCCTCAGCCCTCTCCATGAAGAATGGGAATTCTACCACTGATTAGAGGTACACAGGCTAAACACACATTTATTTCTACTCCCCTATAATGCCACCGAAATTGAGGGGCCTTTCAAAGACAGGAGCGTGGTAAAATGGGGACAACTGACAAGAAATGTCAACAGAAGTTCTGGATGATGCACTGAGCTCACTGACCTGGGAGAGGGAGGAGCCAACAAGCACCCCAGACACTGGACCTGGTCAGGTTCAGCCCACCAAGCTGCCAAGGACAACAACTATAACTATTCTACCTCCTGTGAGATTCTGAAATACTGGTGATGGGGCCGGGGATTTAGCTCAGTGGTTCTGCCGCCTGACCTTAAAGTGCAAGGACCTGAGTTCTGTCCCCGGTACCAAAAAAAAAAAAGAATGAAATACTGGTGATGAAAACAAGATGCTAAAGGAAGAAAAAAAACCCAAAAAGTCACATTACAGGTACAAAGGATCAGAGTCCAGCAGACTTTCTAAAAACACCAGGAAACAGCCATCAAATAGAACAACATAATGAAGATTTGGCCAGATTTCAACAACAGAGCCATTAGGCACCCTCTTTCTCAGAAAGCTCCTGGAGGATGTACTCCAACCAGACAGCACATCACGAGCAAAGGTGAAGTGACAACCAGGGACCAGGTGACACAGCACAGGAGAAGCAAACACATCCCAGGATGACAGTGAATGACAGCCAGGTGACAGCTGAGCAGTGAAGGGACTTGGAAGCACAGGCCACACTGGAGTGGAAGGACTCCAGGAGCCATGCAGCCAGGGGAACAAGCCACCGCCAACAGATCCTCACACCCATCTGATTCTATGCTGACTCCCATTGTTGATTCTTAAAAATTCAATGGAAGCCTTCAGCGGTAAATGAAAAATAGGCACATGGGAAACCCAGCAAGGTAAAAAGCAAAGTAAGTTGTCCCTGACGCAGACGTAGAAACAGTGACACTGTCACACTGAAACGGTGAGGGCCAGCAAAGTGTAGGCATGCATGGGTATGTGTGAGCCTGTGTATGAACAGACTAGGGGGAAGATATCCAAACCACATAAAACTGAAAAACAGAAATAATAAAAGCATATTTTTAGGGTACTCTAGAACACAGCTGAAAGTGCTATGAACTTGGGGTGAGCAGGAGCTGAGACAGTTTTTCAACCATGTGCAGGTATCACTTAAATAAAAGTAAAGTTTTAGTTGTATTTTTGTTGTGTCATTCTTAAGTTCATTGAGACAGTCTCACTCTGCAGCCCAAGCTGGCCTTGAGCTAGCCAGGGAGCCTACACTTTCCCCTAAGCCACACATAAGAGGCCTCCATGGCACTGGACAGAGGCTGCTACTGGAAGCCCATGCAAAGCTGGCACCTGCAGGGAAAAGGGACCCCCAGTCCCACAGGCTTCTTTGGGACCCAGCTGCTTCATTAACATTAGGCACTAGAGCCCAGTCAAGTCCTGAGCAGGTCCTGACCCACCTCAGCATTCTCTCCTGGAGGTGCTAGACAGGAACACCAGCATGGAGAGGGTGCCCAGGTTCAGGGGTTCCTAGGGGAACTCAGGGCACACAGCAGGCACTAACAAGTTACCTGACTGGTGATCCTCCTGCTTCAGCTTCCCAAATGCTGGGATTAGAGCTGTGTGCCACTGCATCTACTAATTTTCTTTTGTTTTGTTTTCAATGTAGAGTTTCATTGAAAAAAGAAAAAGGTGGGCTGGGGATTTAGCGCAGTGGTTCCACCACCTGCCTTGCAAGCGCAAGGTCCTGAGTTCGATCCCTGGTAACAAAAAAATAAAAAAATAAAAAAATAAATAAGAAAAAGAAAAAGGTTGCCACCGCCTGCCTCGAAAGTGCAAGGTCTTCAGTTCGATCCCTGGAACTAAAAAAGAAAAGAAAAAGGTACCTATCTGAAATGCCCAGATCTGAGCAGCCTTGGCTGGATCTGAAATCAAGAGTTCTTAGGCCAAAGCTACTCTGGCTCTTTTCCTGGCCCTTCCTGGATCCTGGGGCACTGAGGGGAAGGGGAGCAAGTTGGAGGCAAGTTGAGTTTTAAGGGACAGCTGCATGGATAGGAGGACTAGGGCAGCCAAGACCTGAGCGAGGTGCAGGATGGGCCAGGCGAGGGCCAGGCTGTTGACTCAAGACACCAGAGGCTGGGGAGCAGGAGGGCAGCCTGAACTTCAGGGCAGCTGCAAGTTGTTTGTAAACTCCCTGGGAGCGGCCAAGCTGGACAATGGTGTTGCTAGGAGATGGGCTTCAGAGAGCGGCAGACTTCCTGCCGGGACCTCTGCTCTGGCTGGGAGGTTGGGAGGCAGGTCTGGGCAGGAGGAACAAAGAGGCTGCTAGAGTGGGGATGCCAGCCGGCCATCTGCTGCCACCTCTGCGGCACAGAGTGAGGCCTCCTCTGGCTATGTCCCCCACCTTCTGTTGTACACTCCACCTTCAGGGCCCAGCTAGCCAGGGAGCCTACACTTTCCCCTAAGCCACACATAAGAGGCCTCCATGGCACTGGACAGAGGCTGCTACTGGAAGCCCATGCAAAGCTGGCACCTGCAGGGAAAAGGGACCCCCAGTCCCACAGGCTTCTTTGGGACCCAGCTGCTTCATTAACATTAGGCACTAGAGCCCAGTCAAGTCCTGAGCAGATCCTTACCCACCTCAGCATTCTCTCCTGGAGGTGCTAGACAGGAACACCAGCATGGACAGGGTGCCCAGGTTCAGCAGTTCCCAGGGGAACTCAGGGCACACAGCAGGCAATAACAAGTTCCTTACTTTGTTCATAATTGGGAGTTGGCTGACGGTAGCAGCTTGGTGGTAACTGAGAGCATGCTAAGCATGTACAAGGCCCTGGGTCCCACACCTAGGACCAAATACATACCTATATATGGCAACATTTCCTACGTGGCCTGCTCTGCCCAGGCCTGGGCCACACAGCACAGCCCCTCTCACAGGGCTACAGTACTGAGTGAGGCAGAAAGTACCAAGGAACTACAACCCGTGCATGGCTGGGGGAGGACAAGGCATGGCGGCAGGGAGGCCTCTCTTGGGGGGACACTGAACAGACAAGGAAGGAGTATGGCTGTGGCGGGAGAGAGGGGAATGTGGCGTGGGGACTGGGGGTGCCTTGGGCTCCTGTTAGGCACCCAAAGATATTTCCTGTGAGTTCCTGGGATGCACAAGGCTCAGTGTGAGAAGATGAGAGACTAGCTGCTTAGAGGAGAACAGGCTGCACCCCAACATCCACGGAGCCTAGGGCAGGACAAAGCCTTCCAGGGTCACCAAAGCACCAACTGCTAGGTGTGGCATGAGGTCGGCAGCTGCATGAGGGAGCCACATCTGGTCACTTTACCCAAAGTCAGCAGAGCAGGTACGCGGTGGCCCCAGGGGAAGGAAGCACTGCCGAGCCCTGGGGAGGGTGGGCAGTGGGTACTAGGGCAGAGTCTTGGATTCAGGAATTCCTCCTTCCCTCCCTGTGGGCCTGCTTGGGGCAGTCCTGGGCATCCTTGGGCCTCTGGTTTTTCCTTCTTCATCCAACCCACACACATAGATTTTTCAAAGCTGCAATTTCCAATGCTGTTACATTTTTGTGCATCAACAGTAAAAGAAAATCTAAACTCTACAGCCTACAAAGCTCAGTATGTCTGTCTTTGTCTCCCAGTACAATCCCAGCCATGGATCTCTCTTGTGAGGATAGCCCCCTCCAGAAGCCCCCCAGTGACCTCATCTCTTTGTAGTAATTATTTAGAGGCTGCAGATATCAGAGGGCAGAAAGGGTGAGGACTACATTTTTTTTTGGCAGTATTAGGGATGGAACACAGGGCCTTTGCACTGACATACATTCCCAGCCCTATTTGTTTGGTTTTTATTTTTGAGACAAGGTCTTACTAAGTCACTAAATTGCCTAGGCTGAGCTTGAACTTGTAATCCTCCTGCCTCAGTCTCCTAGAGTACTCAGATTATAGGAGTGTACCACCATATGCCTGGCTAAAAGACCATCTTGGCTGGGGATTTAGCTCAGAGGTTCCAGCGCCTGCCTCACAAGCACAAAGTCCCGAGTCGATCCCCAGTACCAAAAATAAAATAAAATAAAATAAAAGACCATCCTTTCCTCCCTGCAACCTAGAGCCCACCCTGTGGCTGAAAGGCAGGACAGAAGGGCATGGTATTTCTTTCTTTTTTTTTTTTTGGTACCAGGGATCGCTTTTGAGGCAGGCAGCAGAACCACTGAGCTAAATTTCTGGCAGGCATGATATTTCTTTTCCACACACAGACCAAGGTCTACCAGAGGAAGTGTGTCCTTTTCCCAAGGCCCAGCAGAACACCTCATAGGACAAAGCCCTCTGAATTAAGACATGGGTGGGTGGAGGCTCCCTCTGCCATTAACTTGTCACAGATGGCTGGATAAATCTCTACCCATGGGTACCTGGCTACCTGGGTTTCTCTCCACAGATGGGTCACTTGCATGCTGCCCACCCCGACCAGAGACGCCAGAACTCAGAACTGAGCTCCAGGAGGGGTCCCTGCCTCCTGGAATCTGTGAAAGTATTCTGGGAGCCCCAGTGGCAAATGTGTCTGAGGGGAGACTCAGCCACCCACAGATCTACAATGGATGGAGACCCTGAGGTGGGTAAGGAAGTGAGGGATGGTCGAGACCAGTCCCCATGAGGTCTTAAGGCCCCTCAATGAGGAACAGAAGAAGGTGTGTGCGGCCCTGGCCCCAAGAAGAAAGGTGGAATCCATACCCCTCACCCTAGCCATCCTGCCTGCTGCGCAGGCCCTCCGGCAAGCCCCAGCCCAGCCCGCACACTGCCCTTACCCTCGTAGCAGTCGCGGACAGTGCCGAAGTACACATAGTACTGGTCGTTGGTGAAGAAGAGGAGGCTGAGCCAGGAGTCAAAGGCGTAGATGGGCACGATGAAGAGGATGCGCACGATGTAGCGCTGCTCATTGGGGCAGCTGTAGCAGCGCAGGTGCATGTAGATCTGGGGCAGAGGGGTTGGGTCACACATCACGCTTCCTGTTTTCTGCCCAGCCCAATCCCTCTTCCTCCTGCTCCATGGCCTGACTTCTGGCTCTGCCCCTAACTGTTATGGCTAAATGCAAGTGACCACCCCTACCCCAGAGTCCTCTGTACAATGTGGATGATAAAACTTCCATGGTAGGAATCAAACAAAGGGGTTGCATAAGGCACGAAGGGTATATGTGGAGGGGTTACAGGCTGGCCTTGCAGGTAGAAGAGCCTGTGAGACCACACTGAAGGCCACGGTGCCATTGAGGACAGGCAGGGAATACACAGTATGCAGCTCCCAGTCCCTCAAGAAGGTGTGTTCCCTTTCCATCTGTCCTCCCTAAAAGCCTGGCCCCTGGGGTCTCCCAGCAACAGCACTGGGCTGAGGCCATTTGGCCGTGGTTCAACCTGGTGGACGGGGCAGGACACATGGGAGCCTCACTTGTGTGGGACATGGCCGAAGAGGCACTCACAGTACTTTATGTCCTGTCCTCACCCGAGGCTTTTTCTGGCAGGTCCCCAGGAGGAGGGAAGTAAAATGCAACAGGGAAAATGCAAGGGAGGTAAAAGTTCCCTGCAGCTGCCAAGAGCTACTCCAGGCCCAGCCGCAGGCCCAGCAGACCCTGTGTGACTGTCCTGGCTCTCATGATGTCACTCTTGGCCCAGCAAGCCCTGGCTAGTAAGGAAAGAACAAATATCCCCCACATGCTGAGTCAATGTCTTAGACCAAAATGGGCCTAAAAGGGACAGAGGCAGGGCCGTGGCAGACACACCCTGCCCTCTACATGGAGCAGCCATCAGACCACCTGTCAGGCCACACTGTCAGCTCCTTCCCCCATCCCTCTCCGGCTCTCAAGTTCCTCCTTTGCAAAGGGGTCCTAGATAGACACGAGCCTAGTTCTGGCTGATGGCATGTGAGCACAAGTGACAAGCATCATTTCCAGACCGAGGTAGTCAAGTACCCAGGGTGTTTTCCTCACACTCCCATCCCCTCCACTATCAGATGAAGGAAGCCTCGAAGCGGTGGGATGCTGTGAGAGCCACAGGCCGAAGCCTGACCTGTTCTTGGCTGGGCTGGGAGGTGAGCCAAAAATCAAGTCTATTGGGTGAGGCCTCTGAGAACCTGGGGTTACAAGGCTACTGCACCTGGGCTGCCTAGCTTAAGTTGAGTTCTGTGGGTCTGGAACCCAGGCAGGATTCTCCTTTAGGGCCTCTGTGGAGTCAGGGTACCTGGTGGCAGGTGATGAGCAGGGCTGTCCACACAAAAAAGCCAGAGATGGCCTGAGCTGCGGTGGTCATCAGGAACACAGGCTGCTCCATGGCCATGGGGCTGCCCTCGGGGGTCACAGAGACGCTGGGTGATGCTGCTGCGGTGGTGGGTGATGCTGGATCTGGAGCCAGTGCAGCCCCCCTCACAGTCATGGTGGCTGGCAACAGGAGGCTCCCTGAGAGGATCCTTTGGAGTGACAGGTGCACCTAGAGAAAAGAGACCCCAGGTGAGCACGGACAGGAAAGAATCTTGCAGGTTTCTACATCCTCCTTCCAGCCACCAACCAATGCAGTCATCTCTCTCTGCCATTCAAGCCTTCCGAGACCTCAGCAGACCACACTTGGCCTCCTCTGCCAAATGCTCGACAGCTTCCAGCTCTGATGGAATAGGCTGACACACCAAGCTGGGCCCTGACTGTCCCACAGGCCCTGCTCACCTCTCTGATCTTACCTCTGGCTGTCTCCTTTGCTGCTCCTTGAACTCACCACCCTGCTCCTGCCACTTTGCCCCCTTCCCTGCCCAGCCACGTGGCTCGCTGCACACTTCCTCTAGGTCTCCGTCTTTCTTTTTGTACCGGGGATCAAACTCAGGACCTCGTGCTTGCCAGGCGGGTTTGGCACCACTGAGCTAAATCCCCGGCCCTTAGGTCTCCATCTTGAACACCTGCTCAAACATGACACGTCCCACGTGTGCACACAGTATTCCTGACCCTCTGCTTTCTCCTCCAGGCTCCACTCCACCCACCTATTCACTCCTGTATTCCCAAGTACAACGCAAACTCCCCAGGCAGAGGCCTGTCCTGCTGACTACTGACGTGGCACTTGGAACAGCAAAGCATATACTGAATAGTAAATGCTGGCTGGATACACTCATCTCTGTATGCCCAAAGCAGCACGATCCCTTTATCGCTCCACCAAAGGCCTGGCACTGGTCTCTGCCATTTCTCCCCAGTCTCCCAAATGGCTGACACCCATTCCTCCCCACCCAGCTGGGCTGTGTTGGAGACTTTCTGTCTCCTTTCCAATTTGTGCACCTTCAAACTGCTTTTTTCTGGTGGTGGTGATGGTGCTAGACAGGCAAGCAATGCATCACCGAGCTATGCCCTGACCCTGAGCTGCTCACCTTTCACTGGCTCAGGAGTCCCACCCCTTCCTGAACCTCTCCACCAAACTTCCATCCATGCCATGGCCGCCTGTTCTACATGGCACACATATGCCCTTCCCTCGTGCTTATCCCCCCACCTACTCTAAGACAAGACACGATTTCTGTCTGAATCCCCAGCATCCAGACCACTCATGATGTTCAACCTTATTACTTACTGATTTTCACTCATTATTGCAAAAGAAATTTGAGGAGCCTCACAGAGAAGTAACAGTAACATAAAAGGCTGAGAAAACTGGCATCAGGGAAAATTCTGGTGGGAAAGTGAAGCTGAGTGCATGTGGGACACAGAAAGCATCTCTGTGGAAGAAATGCCTCTCCCGAAAGGGAAATTGGGTCCCAGGTGGAGTTTCCTAGTGGTGACTTCAGTATTCCCGGGAACAAATGAATAACTTCACAATGAAAAGCAATCCTAGCACTATGGGAGGCTGGGGCAGGAGGACTGTAATTTCAAGCCTAGCCTGGAGAACTTAATGACTTAGCCAGACTCTGTCTCAAAATAAACCCAAAGGGGGGAGGCACCTCAGTGTGAAGGCTCTGGGTTCAAGCCCCGGTATTACAAAATAAATAAATGGGTGACAAGAAAGGAAAGGAAAGGAAGGGGAGGGGAGGGGAGGGGAGGAGAGGAAAGGAAAGGAAAGGAAAGGAAAGAAGAAAAGAGCAACATTAACCCAGATATGACCCACAGAAGAGCTCTTGGGTTTCCCTCAGGGCCCAAGGCTGAGCCAGAGGTTGGAACCACTTTCCAAGAGCAAATCAGGACCACCTGGAATGTGCCCATGGAGTGTGATGTCCCCACTGAACTCATGTTTAAACCTAACTGCCAAGGTGATGACACAGGAGGAAGGGCCTTTGGGAGATGATTAGATCATGAGGGTGAAGCCTTCAGCCAGGATCAGTGCCCTTATTAAAGGTTCAGAGAGATTCCTCGCCCTTCTCTCCACAAGGACACAGTGGGAGGAACCGGAAGTGGGCCTTCACCAGAACAGAATCTGCCAATGCCTTGACCCTGGCTTCCCTCTAGAACGGTATGGCATTTTGTTTTAGCAGCTGGAAAGGAGGAAGCCAAGAGCACAGGCTTTTCCCTTTACTGCAGACCATCAGAGCCTACACCCTTCATCCCTTTTGATGCTGCCACCTGTGGACAGGCAGCCAACACAACCCAGACAAGAACTTGAAAGATGAAAGAATTAAAAGAATCATACCACAGTGATCTATGTGCACCCATGTTCACAGCAGCACAGTTTGTAACAGCTAAAACTTGGAAACAGCCCAAATGCCCATCAACTATAGACCGGATAAAGAAAATGTGGTTTTGGGCCGGGGATTTAGCTCAGTGGTTCCGCCGCCTGCCTCTCGAGCGTAAGGTCCCGAGTTCGATCTCCAGTACCAAAAAAAAAAAAAAAAAGTGGTTTTATAATAAAATGGAGTACTACTCAGCCATAAAAAATGAGAAATTAGATACATTTATAGCTAAATGGATGCACATTGAGGCGATACTCTTAAGTGAAATAAATAGGACACACATGTGTAAATACCGAACAGTTTCTCTAGTGTGAGAAACTGAAAGTGTAAATAAGGACTAAAAGGTATAAAAGATAATGTGAAATAGGAAGAAAAGGGGCAAAGGGGAAGGGGAAGTGGGAGGGGTAGGGGTAGGGGAAAGGAAAGAAGGGAATGGAATTAATATGAGAAAATGAAAAAATGGAAACAAAGTCTTTGTAAATAGGGAGGGATGGAGGGGTTGAAGGGAGGGCAGGGGAAGGGGAAAAAAAGTAAGAACCAAGAAAGATTATGTAAAAATGAAAATTTCCAATGATGAATGTCATTATATTGTATACCTAAAATGTACCAATAAAATAAAAATTTTTAAAAAAAGAACCTGAAAGATGACTCTGCTCAAGCCCAGTCTCTGGAAATAACCTGCAAAGCAGCCAAAGGACAGTTGACAGCTCAGAAAATGGAGAAACGGGGAACAGGGCGTGGCCACTACTGTCAGAGGCTGGCTGGAGCTCAGGTTCCAACTCTCCGACAGCTGTGTCCCTGGCAAAGGTTCACGGGGACCCCAGGGTCTCTGGTGCCTGACCATGTCTGCTAAGCCTGGGTATGACCACCTTGGCCCGAACCCCGAGTCAGCCCATAGGACTGACCTCTCATGGTCCTCTCCCCTGGCCTCCCCACATGCAGGTGGCCTGGCCTGACCCTGTGGTCCTGAGCACCCCGGCCCACTGTCCAGCCACAGTTCCTGCCTCTGTGCCGGCCCCTCTTCAGCGTCCCCAGCATCCTCCATCCCATCTCTGTCTACTCTAAGCTGCCACCCAAGGGGAGTCCTTTACATTTCTATTTTCCTGTGCATATGTGAGCCCTACCAGACCAAGCAAGAGATGGAGCTAGATTAAAAACTCAAAAATGGAGAAGACGTCTATATTAAGAAACTCAAAAATGGAGACGTGGTCTATATAAAAACTAGTGGCAAGCTCTGAAAAAAAAGACACAGTGACAGGTCTAAGAATAGCTCTTGTAAGCATGGCTTCAAAGTGGAGAGCCAGAGCCAGAAATGTTTCTTTAAAAAGATTTGGGTTGTAAATCATTTTGTCTATTCTCCCAAATTAAATGAATAAACATTGGGTGGGGGCAGAGAAGTACAAATACTCCTAAATCTTCACCATTTTCCAAGCATTATCTGATTTTTTTTTTCACAGCAACTTTGAAGTAATGTTATCTACATCTTGGAGATGTGGGATTTGGGGTACCTAATGATTCAAGAGTTTTTATAATATCCCCCCCCAAAAAAAACCCATATTTTTTGGTGAGACAGGGTCTACGTAGTCTAGGATGGCCTTGAATTCATTATACAGCTCAGGCTGGCCTCAAATTCCCAGGGATCCTCCTGCTTCAGCCTACTGAGTGCTGGGATTACAGTGCTGTATTTCCCCCCCAAACATTTAAAGTGGAATCCTGAGTTGCAGACATGTGGTCCCTGATCCTGAGAGGCAGGTGCAGGCACTTCCTCAAAGGGTGGAGCTGGTCTTGCTCACTGGACCCAAAGCAGTAGGCAGAGTTTGCCAACTGTTCTCATGGTCCTGTCTGCACCATGACAGGCCTCCCTTAAACGGTTCCCACGCCTGAGTTTGTGTAAGTGACTTCACTCGAAGCCTCACATTTGTCAGGTGTAGGTGGTGGTGCACACCTGTAATCCCAGCACTTGGGAGCCTGAGGGAAGAGGGTTGCTGCAAGTTCAAGGCCAGCCTGGGCTTCATAATGAAACCCTGGCTCAAATAGATTAATTAATTAAAATAAAATGAGCCCAGCCTGGGCAACTTAGTAAAACCTTGTCTAAAAATACAATTTTTAAAAGAGGGCTGGTGATATAGTTCAGGGTTCAATCCTCAGGATGGCGAAAAGAAAACAAAGGGGTCACAGTTTCCTCATCTGTAATTCTTCAGGGTAACTACATAACTGACAAGGCGAAGTTCTGGTTTTCAGAGTCCCATTAATAAACAGAGACAGAATAGCAGAATGAAAAATGACAATGTGTAACTCCTAACACAAATAGTGATGTAGACGTGATGATTAAATCAGTAGGTAAGGTGAAGAGAAATCTGGTAATGGATGCATCGAGCTCTTCCACCCACAACCAACATCCATGCCAACACAGGGCAGCCACTCACCTGGGCCTCCCCAGGGTGCACAGGAAGCACACACCCCACCTGGGAAGAACCTGTGACCAAGTGTGGCCTGGAATCCAGCTGCATCTCCAGAACTAAACACCAGTATTCAGGACAGAGAGGACAGAAGAATATGAGACACTGAAGAAACAGCAACCATACTGGGCAGTGCAAGAGTCTACAAAACAAGTAGCTTCCACAATAAATTAATGGCTTAAAACAAAGGTGGAAGCCTGGTACACTGGCACATGTCTGTAATCCCAACACTTGGGAGGCTGAGGCAGGAAGATCACAAGTTCAAGGCCAGTCTAAGCAAGTTAACAAGACCCTGACTTAAAAACAACCAAACAGGGCTGGGGATTTAGCTCAGTGGCACC